AGGGTTTACGTCAAGAACAAGCAGAAGGTATGGCTAGAATGGGTGTTGAACTACCAGCTAAAAGAACATTCTTACGACAACAAATACTTCATAGATGGGCTACTGAGGCACAATTTAATTATGCACATGCATCACAAGCTGGTTCGGTATGGGGTAATGCTACTACTCCTGCTAATCAAACTACAACAACAACACCATTTTATGGTGGTAGTTATAATGGAGATTACCAACAGCAGCAACAGTTCAGTGAGTATGGTATGGTTAAGAGTCAACTACAGTCTAGAGATCCTAAGAAGAGGTTTGAGTCTAATGCATGGAAGAGGAGATTGGATCAATATAGGAATCTTAATCAAGATAAGAAGAAGGCATTTGTTAATCAACAAAAGCTAAGGACTGGCTTATTGAATATATTCTTCATTATTCTTGTTATATTTACTGAATGGTTTATATTAAGATTCTCACCTCAACATATGAACCCTGATGATAGTCTATATGATGCCTTTGTTGGTGTAGTATCTATATGGGATGCAACATCAGTATTGGATTGGATTATATTCCTTGATGTTCTATTGGATATTATATTATTCGGTTGTGCTATGTTTGTGGTTAAATGGCCTAAGAAACCAGTATTCGCTGAGCATATGCAAGAGGAGCTTAAGGCTAGTATACCTAAGGCAATACAAGAAGAAGAAGAAGAAGAGAAAGTTCATTTACAGTTGGATGATGATGATGATGAGGAGGATGATGATGATATGACACCAAGGTCGATGTTAACTGCCCCTAGTGATGAATCTGAGACTGTTGACTTTGTATTAAGTCAAGGTATGACAAGGGAAGTATGCCTAATGATAGCATGTCATCAATCTACTATGACTGAGGAACGGTATGAGACCTTTACTGCTACATTAAGGGCAGCATTAATGGTATTCCCACCTAGTCATATATTTGTATGTGATAATGGTGTATCACCAATACCTGTAGATGATAATCAATGGGCTACTCAACAGGTACATCCTGATATTAACTATTTATATGTACCTGAGGGTAATAAGACATTTGCCTTTTATTGGTGTAATAAATATTGGATACCTTATCTTGTCCAAATGGTAGAGTACCGACTTCAATATGCTGTTATTATTGATGATGATGTACCTCTACCACCAGATCTACATATACC